AATTTCAAATGGAAGAGATATGTTATCTGGGTAAGTAATAGGAGTATTGATCCAGTTTCTGTCCCTATGCAACTGGTTTTGGAATACTTGTTACACTTAAGGACAATGGGCTTGTCTCCCTCCTCCATTAAAGTCCAATTAGCAGCAACAGCAGCATTCCATATTACACTGATGATAAATCCATAATGCACAAACAATTTGGCAAAAAGCTTTTTAAAAGGTTTATTGAATCTATATCCCCCAATTTGGGACCCTGTCCCACCATGGAATTTGAACTTAGCTTTAACATGAGCTGTTCTTTGTTTCATCTCTCTGTGAAGACAGCCTTTATAATAGCAATCATTTCTACTAGCAGTGTCCGTGTGCTACATGCATTGATGCTGGACCCCCCGATACTGCCTTTCATAAAAAATAAGATGGTTCTTAGATCAAACCCTAAATTCCTTCCAAAGGTGGTTTCAGAATTTCATGTAAATCAAAGTATACATTTACCTATTTCTTTTCCCCAAAACTATTACAGGTAAAGGGAAATCTAAATTATGTTCCTTAGATGCGAAGAGAGAGCTCTCATTCTACCGGGACAGAACTAAGAGCTTTAGGTCTTCTCCCAAATTATTTATTTCATATGCTGGTTCTTCAAGGGGTCAGGCCATTTTAGCACAATCCCGCTGTAGGTGGATCAGGCTGTGTATTGAAGAGTGTTACCGTGCAGCTTCACTCTCTCCTCCTGCTCCTCTTAGAATACATTCCACTAGAGGAGTTGCGACATCTGTAGCATTCACTAAGCATATTCCCCTTATTGATATATGGAGGGCTGCTACATGGATCTCCATGCATACTTTTACAAGACATTTATGCACTGGCTAGGACATCCAGGTCTGATGCACAGTTCGGCGGGGGAGTACTTCAGTCATTGTTTAGGTAGGACTGTGCGCCCTCCTTCCAGTTTACAGTACTGCTCGCCAAACCAACCCAAGAATAGAAATATACAGAGGATTCTCAAAGAAGAAATGAATGTTACTTACTTGTAACAGGAGTTCTTCGAGCTGGACTCTGCATATTCACTTTCTCCATCCACCTTCCCTTCTCTTGCAGAGTCCTATTTTAGGGTTAGTTCATAATTCACTTTAGTGATTGGAAGAAACTGAGGTGGCAATGGGTGCCATACCCCTTCTATGACCAAGCAAAGGGCAGGGAAAGGAAGGGCGGCACTACAACTAGAAGATTCCACCATCCCGGATGCACTTGGTCAGTGCATCCCCAAGAGTGTGAATGTTCAAAGTCCATCCTGAAGAACTCTGGTTACAAGTAAGTAAGCATCATTTATCTTCATTGGTTTGCGAAGTGCATGCTGGCATATTAGGATAGAGAAGGTTATGGGAGCTCTCTGGATCCTCATCCTGAAAAGTAATTCCTGACTGCTCTGCATATTTTTTTCAAGAGTAGGGATTGGTCCTTGTTCTGGCTCAGTGAGCTGGGTGCCAGTTGATCACCAGCTTGCTGCCCTCCACTTCAATGTTGATGGTATTTTTGTGATTCTGTATGTACATACAGTACTGGAGATATGAGCTTTGAAATCTTTCAGGATTAAAGGTGCGAGATAAATGTAACTGTGATCTAATTATTAATAGAAGAGTTAACTGACTCCTGTGAAGAGTCAGAGATGCACTTTGCCATTTGATATGACTCTGAAAGGGATGGTGCAGCCTGAGTGATGCAACAACTTTTGGAATATATCACACTAATACTATATCATGGAGAATTGTGTCTCAAGAGGACCTGAACCTGTGGTTCTCCCAGTGAAATCAAAAGAGGGTTTGCTGGCACGTGGAGTAAGAACTACAGGTTTTGGCTGCAAAGAAAAGAACAGTTTTCAAAATTTTGCAAAGTGAATCTGTCTCTCTCTCTCTCTCAAGCTAATCTGTTTAGATATATTCAGGTTTGAGTAATAACTGTTCCTGTCACTAGCCATTCAAGACTTTTTGATAAACTAATGTTGACAGACCTTGTTAAGCATTAACTTATCCACTTCCCTTGCCACAGTGTAGCACACCTCCTGAAATCTGCACTACAGATGAAGGTTTAGTCTGGGAGCAGTGGCTAACAAGCAAGTCGTTGGCACATTGGATGAGGTAGAGTAGGGACAGGGAGCTTGAGGCAGTTCAGAGGCATGGGGTTTGAGGGATCCCCAGGTTTAGGGAGGGGCAAACTTCTATATTCTTTGGTCTGAGTGGGATTCCTGTTCTTCCCAGGGAGCAGTCTTATGGACGCTCTGCAAACGCAAATTCTTAGATTCTTTCAGTAGTCTGCACAGAAGTAACCTACAGGAGACAGTACATAGTTTGATATGTATTTAGATAAATTAGGGTAATTACCAAATGTAAAATGTAGCTAGTACTACTTGTGGAAAAGTGTATATTTATATGAAATCATCTTCTGAAAGATGCAATTAAATCTAAAGCATATAATAAACCAAGGTAGATAATGGGACTCAAAGTGTTTAGAAGTAAAAAGTCAGTTGGACTTTTACCATTGACTTGAGTTCTGGTTAGGGTGACCAGATGTCCCGATTTTATAGGGACAGTCCCGATTTTTGGGTCTTTTTCTTATATAGGCTCCTATTACCCCCCACCCTCTGTCCCGATTTTTCACATGTGCTGTCTGGTCACCCTAGTTCTGGTAGAATTGTATCCTTATCCACAGTAGAGTTCGGGGAAAAAACCTCTTTTCCTAAAAAAAACGTAGTTTGGCTACTCAAAAGGTCAAATAAACAGAAGGTATAGAACCACATAAACTGCTTCTGTGTCTAAAAAGAGTGCGGGTTATGGGCTTCGATTTTTTTTTTATGGTTTATATCTCTATACCTTGAGTAAGTAAGTAAACCTTAACTTGTGGAATCTTAATAGTCATCTCACTGCTGAAGTCTAAAGGAAACCAAGAGGAAACTTAATAATATTAAAAGTTATTTTAAAGGGAGTTCACATGGGTTTGAAGGGTATTTTGCTTTTCACACAATATCCACCTTTGTAAATTCAGTGAACCTAGATTTAAATTTAGAGAACCTACACACATCTTTTACAGTCCTCAGTACATAAATCTAATAGGATTCCTAAAATGTCTGCCAGTAAGGTATTAATCTTTTACAGATAAAATTAAAATTCTGAAAGTCACTGGAACAAAAAGAATTCCCTCTAGAAAAGTAAAGGAAACTTGGAACTTTGTGGTAAGTGGCTGGTCGGTCCATGTTGTAATGAATAGAGAATAGTCTGTACAGTGTTTCATATCTGACCTGCTACAAGACTTGAACATTCAGAAATTAATTTTAATGTGTTATTTCATAGTCATTTAAATAGATGAAGAGAAGAATTAGATAAACACAAAACTAAAAAGCCATTTAAAAATGAAATCAGAAGCTTCAACAAATAATTTTTCCCTTCTAGTCAAAAAAGCAATTATCAAAATAGTTCAGAATATGTTGCCAGTTACTCTGCTCCAAAACTGCTAACTTTCTCAGTTCTTCTTTTGCCTTTGCTGGGTTCTCTGTCACTGGAAACATCTTAAACCAATTTAAAGTGCTACACCTGAATAAACATGTTGTAAAAGTGTTTATGTATTGAAGTGGGTCAGTTCAAGGTATGGTATTTGGCTGGAACTTCTAATTTCTCTTTTTACAGCAAAAGGGCTGCCAGAAGGAGGAAGTCTGAGCTGAATTAATACATTTGTTACAGTGGAAGTAGAATGGAAACTGCTTTAACCACAAATCAAACTGCCTCTTTCATTTACGCCAGTGATAGAGTTTTTCTAAGAAATATAGACTCTGGCAAGGAGCCACTGTAAGTTTGCGTTTAAAAGGAAACCTATAGGCTTATTTGTTTAAGGTTTACTCCTATGATTATTTGTAAGGTCTTTTTCTAGTAAAATTAAGTTTAATGGCATTATACAGTACATTTGTGAGGCAGATGCTCCCCTTTATTATCCTTGTAGCTATTTAACAAACCTTCCAATCTATTAGGACAATAGTTGAATGCCCTGATACTGCCCACACCAGTGCATAGACTATTTCTTTACCAATACCTTCACATTTACAGGACCTCTGTGTCCCCCACCCTTGCACAGCTGCACAGCTTCATGTGACACTGTCTCATTTTCTGACGGTTGAAGGGCTCTGCATAATACACGTACACACAAAAGTGTTTATGCTGCCAAAATAAATTCTGTTAAGAGCAAGGGTTTATTTGTTAAAATGTCACTGATGCAGTTTCAATGACTTGTTTTGCTTACTTTTCTTCTAGGGAGGGTCAGTTCCTCCAATACAGTGAGGTTACCACACAGTCCTGACTGAACAAATATTTCAAAGAAGTATGTACATCCCTTAGGAGCAGAACCGGAGTCAATCATGTACATATTTCAAACTCTTTTATATTTCTCCTGAAAGATTGAGTGCCCCCGTATATATAGTAATGACTTCACATGAACTTGGAGTAATGCTTTACATTGTTTAAAGCATAACTATATTTATTGCCTACGCTTCTCATTCCTACTGATTTGAGTTAGGGAAATAGAATTCCAGATTTAACATACTTGTGATGTAAAATAAGATGACTGCATCATGTTATCCTTTTCCAAGAGGATAGAAGTTAATGGAGTTGATTTATTTCTTTGCAATAGATCAGTACATATACCACTGAATTAATATATCAGGGTTTTGTGTAGAATGTGTAGACAATGTTTTCATGCAGTGGTAGACTGTGAAGTTGTTGAAACTTTTGTAAATAAATCTTTTGAGTTCTCTTCCTTTTAGATTACATTCAACAAAATAAGGCTAAGGTTTCTAATATTGTAACTTCAGGATCATTGGTAAAATCCTTGCCCCAATGAAGACAATTGCAAAAATGACATCATTTGGGCTAGGATTTCACCCATATATTTATCAGGCAACCAGAAAAAGCAAAATTTGACAGTATGTATGGTATTAATTGTATGTCTGCATTATTTTATAGGTCGCAGTATCAATGTTAAATCAGCTGGCCTTATAGGAAGACAAGGGCCTCAATCAAAGCAGCCATTTATGGTTGCATTCTTCAAGGCAAGTGAAGTGCTTTTTCGATCTGTCCGAGCAGCCAACAATAAAAGGAAAAATCAGAACCGCAACAAATCCAGTAGCCATCAGGATTCTTCCAGGATGCCCAGTGTAGCAGGTAAGATGAAGAAGCCATAGTACCATCTATGTAGTGGGCATCTGTGAGTACAACTGCAAGTTGGCACATTTCAGAAGTTAGGTGCTGTGAAATAAATGTGTCCATTCTCAGGTTATTTGGTCCAGTTGAATAATGCAATGATGATTCAACAGCCTCAGTCTTCTTGACTGATGAATTATTCACTGAGAACTTTGACTGGGAAAAGGTGAAAGATCCAACTCAAATTAAAGAAACAGTCAGTAATGAGATTGAAAATGTGTAAATCAGCTACAGCTACCAGTACATGTCTTGCTCGGTTAAATGTGTACTGGGCTGTGTGATCTTTTAATATACTAGAGGGTGATTGGGTAACTCAGTATACTTTTTCAATGTTTTACCAGTGCAGGTGAGCCATCCAACTAAAATTCCTTCTCGCAAATAGCAGTATACATGCTATGCAGATAATTAAAGTACTGCTTATTCCAAATGTGGTGAATTTGAACCTTTTGATAAGTCACTTAAATGGTTCTTATATGAAAACTATTTTCCATGTCTCATCTTTCAGAGAAGAAAAAGCTATCTAGTGGGATGAGTGCAATCCATTTGTTGTTTTAGACAACTCAGATTTCTCTTGGTGTTATAAATCCACATGGTATCCCCAAATGCTAGTATGCCTTGTGCAATTTGATCTCTTTCTTACTTGAAAGGTGTTGAAAAACTCACATAGTCAGACACTAATGCATACAAGGATGCTCAAGGTGGTTGCTTGTTCCATCAGGTGTCTGGAATTAATTATGGTCAATAAATTATTTCCTGATATGTTTCCAGTTAGAGGAATATGAAGAACTTTTTTGAAATTCAAGATCTCCCCCTTTTGAAGAAACCTTGTTTTCCTTTTTGGGGACAGGACCTGCACATCTAAATATGTATCTTTTAGAGGATACTATAGTAGAGTATAGTACTAGTGGATCAAGAATTTTTCTTGAAAGCTGTTGCCAGCCTCTCAAACATGTCCATTATGTAAGTAAATTAGTGCCCTGGAATGCAGTTTTTGTGGCCAGAATTCAGCCATAGGGTGGCATTCATATATTTGCAGAGATTAGTACAGGTCCTGTGCACCATGCAGGTTCCATTCAGACCCTCAAAATAGCAGGTTAAGTGGCTCTTAAGCAGTGTATAAGCCTTGTGCTGGCCATCTGCTCAGGGATGGATTTCACCTTTACTGAGTACAAACTGCTGCTGAGTTGACAAACAAAGTGATGATCACTTGGGATTGGCTGTCGAAGTGTTTCTGTCAGAGGCTATGGAGATTTACCAGGTGATCTACTGGATCCAAAACCTGCTTTTAAGGTATAAATAAATGTCAACACCCGTAAAATGCCACAAAAAAGGAAAAAAAGCTCAGTCAGTAGCAGCTGTTATTAATACCTGTCATGGTGGTGGTGGTGGGTTTTATTTGTATGTAAAATATAAATAAAATGCTGTGCTGTCTGCTAGGGCAGGGCTTCTTCCTCTTTGCCCCACTCTACATTGAGGGATTGGAGCAGAAATTATCCTGTGAGGCAGGCAGCAGAGAGAGAGCATGCATCTTTTCATATTGCTCGGGGATTGAGAACCTGACAGCCCAGCCTTTGAAAAGCCTCCTCTGCATATATTCAAAAGCACCTGCAAGTTGTTAAGACTTAGTGGTGCTTTACTTATAATTGCTCTCTTGCCTGTCCCATTTGGGTATTGTAAAGTTCTCTCATTTACGGTTCAAATGATCTTGCAGGTGAGTTGTTCCTGAGAGCACTTTATAATCCAAGAAAGAATCAGGCTGGGGAACAATTATAAATAAATAAAACAGACTGGACAGTTTTAAATTATTACTGGGGGAAGAAAAAAAACTACTTATTGTTGCTTTACATCAGAAAACCCCATTTGATTGTTTTAAAGCACATTTACTAAGAAATGAAGAGTAATTATGGGTCTAAATGCTTTTAGAATTTCAAAAAGGGGTAATCCATTGAGGTTTAACAATCTATTAAGCATGTTCTAAACCAGCTGAGACATTCAGAGCTGGTATTAGCAGGTGTAACTCACTGTGTCAAGTCAATGGAGTTTTGCCTGCTTACACCAGGTCTGAATCTGTCAAAATCCATTGACTTTAATAGAAAGAGTTGCACCTGTTTACACCAGGTCTGTGTTTGTATCTGTGTGTGTAATTGCAAGATGGTCAGGAATGGCTCTAAGGAACTGTTCCTTCCCAGTAAATAATATTTGCCATAGAAAGATGCATTTTCCTCTTAGCATAAAATGGCTTTGAGTTAGGTGACATAAATAGAAGTTTTGAAAAGAAACCTACTCAGATACATTCAACCAGAATGACTCCAAAGAAGTAATCACTGATTTCTAGGGTGAATAATACTTCATACATAAATTATATATAAAAAACATTGTTGCATATTTTCCACAACATTTTTACTGATTCTGATAATCATAATTCAGTCAAGTAGGCCTGTTTGGTAGTGCTGTTCTCCAGTCATTATGTATTTTATTTCTATTCTTATCTCTCGAGAAACTAATTTTAAAATAAGAGGTAGGTAAAGAACTGTTCAGAATTGTAGTGGCAAAAATCAAAAAGTCAAAAAAATTCAAATTGTTTTGGGAGGTTTATCAATGATTTTTGACCAACATCACCAAATTGTATGAATGTGCCATCATTTTGTAATTGTTTTAGTAACTTTGTGAAAGCTCCTCTAAAAGCTGGATATAGTACATTTTGTAATGATTCATCAAAGCCATTCATCTGTAGACAGCACTATTCCCTTTAAATCAACCAGGATTCAGTAAAAAGCAACAGAGAGTCCTGTGGCACCTTTAAGACTAATAGGTGTATTGGAGCATAAGCTTTCGTGGGTGAATGCCCACCTCTCTGATACTTGACACCAGGCTTCAGTGTTGGAGATGTCACTGTGATGTTATAGAGGCTGTTTAGGAATTTGTTTGTACTACACTGTTAAAAAAATGTCATGTTCCACCCTAGAGATGCTTGCATTTCAGTGGTTAGTGAAATGATTCCTATATATTAACAATGACTGCATTTATTTGACCTTTGGTTAACTGATGGCCAGTCATATCCCCCACTAGCTGTATATGCTGTGAGTTGCTCCCGTGCTTATCCCATGACCCATATTTCCTGAATTTCAGGTCTGTTCAGAACTCTTTTGAAAAACGGTGCTGTAATTATATTTAGTCATCTATATTTCATGATGCAAAGTGCCTTGGGATTCCTTCAAGATAAAAGGGTCTGTTTGAGCATGAGAGAGTTTTCTAAGTCTTAAAAGTAGTCTTGGAGTTTGTTTGCATATTTTCACAGTATAGCTGAAGAGCTTTTAGTTTGCATCTCCAGGATTTGTTATCAAGTATTAAAATGGTGCAGCTGAAAAGAGACAATCAAGTAATGAGGTCCCACAAAACAAAACTGTTCTGGGGGGTAAGCCCTGGTACCTTCTTTCACCATGGCAAACCAAGTTGCTCTTATATTGCCTTGCTTTCAGCTTCTCTGAACAATTTCCACATCACCCATTACTGTGTAGCTGTACACCAGTCCCTTTGATTAGGGTGTTATTAAGTATCAGTTATAAGACTTGAACAATATCAACTTTTCAAGATCTATAATAGCTATTGTTGCAATAGTTACCATCTGCAAATGAAGATAGCAGTGGCTGCAAGCTTAGTGACAGATTCTATTCAGCTGCTTTAGGGTGTAAGAAGGAGGAGAGGAGAGCAAAATAAACCACTAGCCTTCTTGTGTCCTTGCACAGTGGCAGAATGTAGTCACAATCCCTGGGCTCCTCTGCCTGTTCACCAGCCACTGGAGCTGGCAGGTTCACAAGGGAAAGTATGCTGCATCCCCTGCAGGGGTACAGAAGAAGGCACACTCTCCCAGTGTGCAGGGGTGCAGCAGTTCTGCACAGCCCCTATGGCCAGTATCTAAAAGGTACAGTGACCCCTTCTGTAAAATGAATAGAAAACCTAATAGTTCTGCCCACTGTGCTCATTCTTGCTCATGCGTAGGCAATGGAATTTGCAGATTATAGTAGCTTAACTATTGATGTTTATTAGAGAGACAAGGTGGGTGAGGTAATATCTTTTATTGGCCAACTTCTGTTGGTGAGAGGGACAAGCATTTGAGCTACACAGAACTCTTCTTCAGGCTAGAGAAGGACCTTGAAGAAGAGCTCTGGGTAGCTTGAAATCTTGCCTCTTCACCAATAGAATTGGCCCAAGAAAAGATGTTGCCTCACCCCTGGTGTCTCTAATATCCTGGGACGAATGTGGGTACAACAACACTGCAAATACCTAAGCTTATGTCAGTAGGTCAAATTCTACTCCAATTTATACCCCATGCAATTCCATCAAAGTGAATGGAATTGTAAGTGGTGTAATTACAGAATTTGGTTCCTTATCTCTTTACCTGTTGTGTAATCTCTGGCCAAATGCCTCAGAGTCAGGTAGGTTTGGTGGGAAATGCTGTTCTGTATAAGCCACATGACATGCTCCTGTTATGGTTGCTGCCACTTGTATAGCACAGGATTTAGTCTTATTTCTTTATCATTTTGCAGAAGACACTTGTTTGGGAACTTCCTTTCTTGACTTTAACCCAATCATTCTCACCTTTTGTTTTTGTTCTCACGAGAATTAGGTTCATTTCACTCTCTCACCAAGTCAAGAAAGACATTCCTACTTCCCATATTTCATTTCATTCTTTTCTCCTTTACAGCTAATTAAAACTGGGAAACTCCTTTTTGAAATACTCCTGCACGTGCACGCAAGCAAACAAAATGTGAATAAGAACAAAACCTATATATGTATATATAATGTTACTGATTGTAACAATCTGGCAAAAGTTTTCTTCTTGATGTTGACAGGTCTGTGCTTAACCTCCCTCTGTTGAGTGAAAACTTTAGAGCACATGGCTTAAATGCAATGCAAGAACACACTGCAGAAAGCAGAATGTATCCTCCAGCCCCCCCCCCTTCTGTTCCACACAGAGGGGTGAAATTTGCAGTATTTCTTCAGTTCTTACTCAGGTGCTACTTCCATTTTGGCCACAATGGAGTTGTCTAGCTGAGTAAGGGATTAGAGGAAAAGTATTTTTTCTTTCTTTAACTTGTCCTGAAATGGACAAAAAACAAACAAAACCCAGCCTTTTCCTCAAAACGTGGTTCTGAAAAGGGGGGGAAATAGTAATTTGGCACAAAATGAAATCTATATTTTAATAATATAAAGGCAGTGATGCAAACTGACATCTACCCGGAAATTCAAAAGCAAAGCTGTGGTACTTTTTATTCCTGATGCTATGAGATAAGAATGGAAAAACATGCTAAACAGTGTATTTCCTGGATTTTATTGGTTGCTGTCAAACTAATTAATTAAGCATATGGTACTTTGTGATAGTAAATGCAGGCAGGTTCATATGTCTCAACTTCCATCTCTTCTTTAGAAACCAAAATACTCTCTGACTGCCAGTGAATATGCATAGGAATAACAAATTTGATTCCCTTGCCCTACCCCCACAGCTCCTTCTGCCACATACAGATTTGGAACACAACTGCAGTCCCTGGATGGTTTAGGTACAAAGTTTACTCAGTCATAATATCCCATGGTTTTGATGCCTGACAGAATAAGCATATGGACCTTGAAGCTACAGAATGTGAAACTGGATCCTTGGCACCAGATCCTGTTGTAAATGTCACCGTGGCTACTTTTATGTAATGTTACATTACACACAACATTTGTCTTATATAAAAGGCAGAATGTAGGGAAGGAATATGAATTTCCTTTAGTAGTTTAGCATTCTAAATAGGTGTGTGGTTAGGTAGGTTTCAGAAAGCTATGTGTCGAATGCATGTCTGCATATCAAGTATCCTGGGACTTTTTCACATCCACACAGCATTAATCTATTTTCTTAAAAGTAGTTTTTTGGGATTTTCAAAACTGTGAAGATATCTGAAGTGATGCCATACATATTTATCATGGAGCCTTCTTCCCACAGCCCTAGGGCCCCCTCCACAGTCTTTTTGGTGCTGAAGGTTGTGTGTTAAACATGAAAAGTTGAAAAAATTAGAAATTGACTCCAGAGCTCAATCTGATGGAAAACTTGATAAAGACTAATTTATTCACCAGCTTCCACCTGTTTTTCTTTTTGTGGACCATCTACAAATGGATTGTGACTTTATCCTGCGTGTTTCTTTCTGAAATTATTCAGTCATATTTTTCACACATTTCATTTATACTATCGCTTTCTATTCTAAATTTAGTGCTTGAAATTTGAAATGACACATGGCATTGTCTTTATTTCCTTGTTGAATGAGTATTATAACTTATAATCCAGTTTCTTGTGTGGTTTTTCATGGAACATGAATTTAAAATTAATTTTGAGAGTTTGAGCATGCGAGCTCAAAATTCATCTTCAAAGAGCATTAAAACTAGTAAAATATTCATAGAAAGTTATCAAAGAGAACTTGTTTAAGATTTTGAACTAATATTAGTCCTCAGTGTATTTGCATTATTAACCAAGGACACAATCCTAGTGGTGAGCACGCCAGGCCAATCTAGAAAAAAAATATTTAAAATTAAGCTGAAGTTAATGAGACCATTAACATGTTTAAAGCTAAGCACATACTTCAGCATTTTGGTGATCTGAGCTGGAGAGCACTGTGCAGAATCAAGCCCAACTTCTAACCAGAACCTTTAATGGCTGTACCTATCTAACATACCTGCAGGACATGCCAGAGCTATTCCAGGCAAGAAAGCCTAACCATGTCATTCCACACTACATTAAATAGAGCAGGCTGGAAAATGAAATTATTTGTCATCAGAAATTTTAAAAAAGGTCCCCTGCATTTCCCAAGAAAATGTGTTAAAAAAGACAGACACACAAACCCCTGCCCTGAAACCTCCAAAAACTTTTGTTTTTTGAAAACCATTCTCAGTTTTAAAAAAAGTCAGTTTCTGAACATTGAAATTTTTATTCAAAACCCCAAATTTACCAAAGTATTTTGGGTTTTCAGTTTCCAGGAAGGGAGGAGGGTTATGAAATTTCTACCAAAATGAAAATGTTCTATGGAAATGTTTGTTTTGATCAAAAAGCCATTGTTTGTCTTAACATTTTTTCACCAAAATCTTTTTTTTTTTAAACTGGATGTAATGTTGAACATCATCAGGAGGCATAATCACTCTCCCAGATCCCAGGCAAGCAGAATGTGCTAAGATGCAGCATCCCTTGAGGTGCTACAGCCTGTTGCCTTGTATTCCCATCCAACTGCTCAGATAGGGTAGTGATGTGATGGGACCAGGACTTCCCCACATCTTTGTACTTCCCCAAGGAGAGGGATTATTTCAGAGTGCACAAGGGTGTAGAGAAGGCTCTGTGGGTCTTCCCATTTTAGCACACCTATGCCAGGGCCAGAGACAGTCAGGCCTTTAAAGTGCATCTATTGTGCTACTTGCTTACATTTGTATTAACAGTTAAAGACCATTAGTTGGCAGATATTTTTTACAATAGTAAAAAATTTAACTATGCAAAATGTGCTAAGATTTAAATAACTGGAATTATGCCTTTTATATTTATCATTTGAAATTGGGGCCCCTCCCACTCTTTGTCTGGCACTTGAGACCTGATCCAAAGCCCAGTACAAAGACTCCCACTGTCTTCAGTGAGTTTTAGATCAGGCCCTTGATGTTCTTTTTCCAGCTTGCAAAATTATATTTGCCAATATTATTGGACCTGCTACTTCGATAGCTAGCAGTTAGGCAGCACAAAAAGTTATTTCCCCTAATCCTGAATGCATTATTTCCACTCTGTACACAAACTATGGGGTGAGGGCTAGCTCAGTGGTTTGAGCATTGGCCTGCTAAACCCACGGTTGAGAGTTCAATCCTTGAGGGGGCCATTTAGGGATCAGGGGCAAAAATCTGTCTGGGGATTGGTCCTGCTTTGAGCAGGGGGTTGGACTAGATGACCTCCTGAGGTCCTTTCCAACCCTGGTATTCTATGATTCTATGCCAGCCTGAGATTGGGGATTCTGAACTTCAAAAAATTATATTGACTTTATGGATCAGCCCTACCTGTAGAAATGAGAGTATTTCTGTTCCTTTGCTTTGTGCAAGTTTGCCAAGGAACTTAAAATAGCTGAATCTTGTGTTCCAGAGCAGTATGTCTGAACAGTGTCTTTTTCTTTCTCTAGATTACAACACAAGTGAACAAAAGCAAGCCTGTAAAAAACATGAACTTTATGTGAGTTTCCGTGACTTGGGATGGCAGGTATGGATACCAATGCTCTTTCCTATCAGTGCTAGTTTCTATAATCTCGTTTGCAATCTATCGTCTGTTGTAGAGGGATTTTCCCTGGTGGTAACTGGTGCTGCATTGAAGAAGCAAGAATTCTCAAAGTGCACTTTGTAATGATGTGTGATCCTGTATGCAATCCTTTGGCAGCAGTTATAGAGCTATTCAAGTTTACAACCCACTGAGTCCTGTGGGAAAATAGCTGATGAGCCTGTGTGATAAATACCCCAGACATAAATAGGTTTATAGCCCTGATAAATTAATCGGTTTTACTAGGGATAGGCCTTAACCATTACTCCAGATCTGAACACCCTGTGTACATTGGTGGTGCTGGGGTTTGAATCTGCATCAGAATCCTGTCACTCAACCCTCTTTCAATATTTGATCAAACCTAAATCCCAGCTCTGAACACCCCTAAACTTCATAGGTGCTGGAAGTAGGAGTGCTGCTGCACCCCTTGGCTTGAGGTGGTTTCCATCATATACAGTTTGGTTGAATGGGTTTCAGAACCCCCACTATACAAATTGTTCCAGCACCCTTGCTAATTTGTGGAATATTTGAAATCCAGATCCAGATTTGGCTTGAGTCTCTTTCTAGTTCCTGCACTTGCCGTGTAATGACAGATGAGAATTATACCATCTGGGTTTGGAGCCCTGTGGAAGCAGAGCTTTCAGCCCCTACAAGGTGTCCTGAATCACTCAACAGCAACCCCTTTATGCAGTCGTAGTTTAACAGAAAAGACGGTGCCTGTGGGGCCATGAAAGCAGAGGTAAGGCAAAAAAAGACAGAGAAAATAGAGGCTCTGCTGGGTTCTTCCAGAGAAGCAAAAGCTGTTTGCAAAGGAAATATTTTATTAAGGAAATAATGGGAAGGCCATCAGCAACTGATTTAGATAACACATTTCAGGTTTCCATGTATACTTAAATTCCCTCTGCAATATCAATTTAATACAGAATTCATTTTTGCTTCCTAGATGTGTAGAACTGCTGTGCGCTCTTAAACAGTTGCAACATTATACCCCAGAGGTAGTTTCATTTCAGTGATGGTTGATGTGATTCCTATAAATAATATAAAACACTCATGTTAAAACTAAAGTGTTCATTGCTAGGTGTAGTCAGGATGTAATCCCTAAATATGAGCTGAGGCATATACTTAATTGCCTCTAATACTGTACTTGGTTTTAGCTATAAGGCCAAAAAGAATCAACTGGCTAAAATTTTCAAATTGGATGGCTTAAGTTAGGGTTCTAAATCCATATTTAAGCACATAAACAGAAGTTGAGTGGGTAATATGGATATAGATGTTTAACTTTAGGCACCCAAGTTTTAAATTTTTGGCCACTGTTCTTAGGGTTATGTCATCTGCCTCCAATGTTAGCTATAAAGGGGATTAAAGTACTGGAAACCCCACTAAAAAGGCAAAAAAACTGACAAAGAGGATTGAACTCGAGCAGCATTAGCTTCTTTTGACTCAGCAGAAGTTCCTTTATGTGGTTAAAGGAGAGTCACTCTGTGGCATCATTCCCACCAAAGCCATTAACGTTAATTCCTTTGTTTTCCTGCTCAGTCTGTCCGTCCCCTTGGAGGGTGGATAGGCCAGTCTAGGGCAAGGAAGAACTGGACTCCTGACTCGTGGTGGGGATCTGAGTAGTAATGTGGACATAGCAGCTCCTGCACAAATGCCTTTGCCCTCTATGGTGTCCCTGTGCTATTTGTATGTGGCTCATGGGATAGCTATAGGATTAGCATATCAAGCACCCTGACAGATCCATAGGCAACAGGCCCTGACACCCTCAATGTTCTTTGGAAATGCTCTAGCTTCTAGATATCTATCTTAGGTATTTATAGGGCTCCTATTACTGTAGTATCTGAGAGTTTTATCCTCTCAAAACCCCTGTCAGGTAAGATAGTATTGTTATTGCCATTTTACAGATGGGGAACTGAGGCACAGAGTAAGTGACTTGCCTGAGGTCACACAGTAAGTCTGTGGCAAAGCAGGGACTTGAATGCAAGTTTCCCAATTCCTAAGCGAGTGCCTGACTTCTGGACCATCCTTCCTCACTACATGGATGTTCAGAGTTTTCCAAGTACCCGGTACTTGTTCTCCCATAGATTTTTCCACAACAGGGCCCATCATTTGCAAGGCACTTTGAGATCATGGGCAAAGCAAGGTGTCACAGAAAATGTAAAATAATATTTCATGAAAATGTTGCAGCTTGTGTAGCTCAGATTTCTCTAAATACATATTTATAAAAAGAATAGATAATTTCATAATGCAAGCACCTAACCAAGTATAGCAATTCAAAAATGGATCAGTGAAACTAACAGTGAACAGGACTACAATGAAAATTGGGTTAACCCCCAAAATATGTGCTTAATGCTCCCCTCCCCCTCCCCACCTCAGCCAGGCCATGGGGGAATTCAGCAAAGAAAAATTCTCTAACTAAACTTTTAAAAATACCTTTTTCTCTTTGTGAAAAATTATCTGTTTTATGGCTTGCTGAAGACCCCCCAAACTGATCATTCTGTAACATCACTAATGCCACCATCCCCCGTGCAACTCCTGAGACCATAAATACTCTTAGTCTCAAGCAAATCATAGGGATTAATGGCATTGGATATGCCAGAGAATGATGCATTTGGGATGTTTTTAGTGAACCAGAAATAGCCTGAGAATTCATAGGTGCTGGAACTAAGAGTGTGGGGGATACTGTAGCACTCCCTGGCTTGAAGTGGTTTCCATTATACAGGGTTTATAGTTTGGTTCAGTGGCTCTCAGCACCCCCACTATACAAATTGTTCCAGCACCCTTGCGAGAATTTCAAAGTGGGAGGAAAAGTATTTTAAAGGCTAGTTTCAATGTATTTCTTTGCTAAATTCCTTCACTGGTTGGTTAGTTGGGGGTATTCAGTACATATTTCTAGGTTTAACTCAATTTTCATCTTGGTTTTGTAGGAACAGAGATTAGGATAATTTTTTTCCAAATATTGTATTTCTGTTTACGCCTTATTCAGTCATCCTGGATCCAAATTAGAATGATAGCGATACAGTTTTCAATTGATTGAACTGGGAAGGATTGAGATTGTCTGTTTGTTATTGTTATTATTTAGTTTGCTTATGGTTTTATATTTCAGGATTGGATAATAGCACCAGAGGGCTATGCTGCGTTCTACTGTGATGGAGAATGCTCCTTTCCACTCAATGCCCACATGAACGCTACAAACCATGCCATAGTTCAGACTCTGGTATGTCCGTTAGATCATTTGTGTAACATGCAAGCAGCTTGGGACAGGGAGCTACATCTTCCTCTCGGTTTATTACTATTGGATTCGGATTAATTTTATTGGATTTGGATTAATTTTGTTTAAATTACACCCTTGTACAAAAGCATTAGTGATTGCAATGGCTAGTGGATGAAATGCCCAGAAAGCCCCTTTTGATATATTTACATTTTGTTTCTGACCCAATAATGCATGAAAAAGACTGTGTCACAGCACTGAGGGGTTCTGCTGATGCAAAGGCAGGTTAAGGTTTTGTAGAGCCCTGGGACAGAGCAAGTGAGGGCCCCTCCCCCCCCCCTTTTCACCTGCACTCCCTCCCCCATTCCGCTCCTTCTGCCTGCTGCCCCGCCGACAGCCCCAGCCTATTCTGCCCCTTCCCACGGCCCCACTCCATTTTATCCCCTCACCACTGCGGCCCCACGACTGGAGAAGCTCTGTTCTCTCCCTCCCCTAGCCACAGACCTGGGGCAGCAGCAGCATCTGGGAGCTCCCCCAGCCCTGAGGCCATGGCAGGGAGCTAGAGCTCCTCCAGTCCCGGGATTAGGGCACAGGGGCTTCCCCCACCCCACCTGGCATTCCTGTTGGGGAGCAGGGTTGGGGCACAGGGGTGCCCATTTTGGGGGGTCCCCCAATTGACCAGGGCCCCTGGGCATGGGCCCCGTTGGCCCAGTGGCTAATCTGCCACTGTGCTGATGTAAAGCAAAGAAGGGCTCCCTCCCTGCTTCCAAGTGGTTTATGCACCTTTTGAAGTTTCTCATCAACATTCACACTACAGTCTCCAGTAACTTGACCTGTGGCTGCACAGCAGCTCTCGGTTTTCAACTGTTATCAGAAAAGCCTCAATCAGTTGACTGGACTGAAAAATACCTCTAAGATATGTGAGCTGATGCAGTTGCAAGCAAGAAGTATGCTGTGTGCTGTCATGCCTGGCTCCCAGTTATGATTAGAAACATAGTACCATTTGGATTTGATTCTCTGCTTGGTGGAGCTGAAGTGGGAAGAGCCTTACAGCCACCTTTCCACCTCTCTCAGTCCTGGTTCCAGCTGGGAGTCAAGCCAGCCCAACACAAGATGGAGCGCCAGGGGATGTTCTGACTTACATTTGCTGGAACAGTCCCCTAGGAAAGCTTCGGTGGGAGCTACTGGGTGCTCAGCAGTTCAAAAAATCAGGGGAACTTATTTATGTGCCGAAATATGGATACAGGAGTCTAATGTTAGGCTCTCATTTTTCATTTACACCAGCTGAGGATATGACCCACTGCCCATGCTCTGCACAGCATGTATAATTAAAAGGCAGACCGATGAAGGACAGGGGAAAGAGCTACAATGGACAAGCAGGGTGACTGGGATCATGGCAGGCACATTTCTTGTTAGTTCCATTTTTAACATACACTAAATGTGCCTCTTCTCCTCCCACCATTCATTCCCCTCACCCCCAGCAGTCCCCAGCTACAGAGCCAATGACCTTATATTCTTCCATCCCAACATTCAAGCCAGCAAGATCCTGCACAGAGAGGCAGAAGGGGACAGGAGGAGGGGAGGGAGTCAAAGGTGGAAGTAAGCAATGGGCTGTGGGAAAGGGATTCATTTGGAGAGGGGAAGTAATGCTCTTTGGCAAGAACTATGGCAATGTGCATATGTGGTGATGAAGAAAAACACATTTACAATAATAAACTGTTATTTCTCTTCAGCTATTATGGCAAAGATTGCCTAGAAAAGTTGCCAAGCTTCAGTGAGACATTAGATTACAGTTTCTCTCATGCAATTACGTGTCATGCAAGGTAAAACATAGCAGGGCAACTTTCACGTGTGCACCTAGTTTTTGCTGAAATCCCCCATAGTTTCTTAAGGGCAGGGGGTTCAAATTGTACTGCACATGCATTCTATTGGGCAGCCAAATATCCATGGGGCTAATTGAATTTTAAGTGCACATAAATTAGCTGGGTCAGCAGTAGCCAAACACTTTGTTTGAAATTATACAGATTATTTAGATTTACTCAAGGGAGTTCACACAGGGAGAGTTCGGGAAACAATTATTCATACACTCTCCCCCAATCCAAATGTAATCAACTCCTGTCCATGGTGATTGCACCATTCTGAAAAAGCAGCTTTGTTTTGGGACAAGATTGTTCCTTGAAACCCTTCCAAATATAACTGACTTTTTGGTTTGTTTTGTAACAATCGTTGGTCCAGCACATCTTCATTTCTGCATGGGGCTAAACTGCTTTTTCTAAGGTGTATCCATAGGAGTCAAAAAAGTGCTGGAGTAGTGCTAACTCTGCTCCCATTGACATCCGTGGGTAAAACTCCTATTGACTTCAGTGGAAGCAGAGTTAGGCCAATGCCGAATGCTTTTGAAAATTCCACCTTAATAATGCTTTTTAAACATTTAAAAAGTGAATCCTCACTACAGTACAAATTCTAGTATCAGTATTATTAGAGATTGTAAAATTTGAATCAGGATGCTGCACATTGAAAGGACGATGTGTGTTCAGATCCAGGGGTTGGCTTTTGTTCCATCTCTAATTATTATTTCCATTTTGGAGATGGAGAAAGTAAGGCAGAATGTTTAGGAGATTTGATCAAGGCCATATATGCAGTAGTGTCAGAGCCAAAATTCATGAGCAGGAGTTCCTTGCTTCTAATTCTGCATTTAATCCTCCAGGTCAAGCTGCCACTCTTGCTGCTGAACTGTCAGACCTGCTCCCCTTCTCTGACCTATAATGGTGGGAGGCCAAATTAGCTATTTAAAAGAGGAGCTGGCTCACTGGCAGGCAGCCAGGGTGTAGCTTGTGGAGACACTAGCTTCTTCAGTAGCAGGACTGGCATCCCTAAAATATCACAGAAATCAAAGCTAAGGGGTTCAAAGGCTCAGGAGGCTGACCCTGGATGGCTCTGAGCAGAGATTGCCCGGGCGGAGGAGATAAAATCACTGCGACAAATTCCAAATCCTCATGACTAACTTCCATTGTAAAGATAGTTTTGAAAATGTAACAGGCAAGAAATGTATTTAGTGAAAGCCAAATTTAGCCCCAACACCCACACGGGGTTCCCAGAATTGGGATGGTGGTAGCTGTGGGCTTGATAGAATCCAGAGGCTGGCTTTGGCAAATGTCTGCTTAGAAAGAGGACAATATTTTTTTTTCTCCAATATTTTGCTTGTCATTAGTTAATCAGTTTTGAGGTAGCAGGGTGTGTGTGTGTGTGTGTGTATCTACATCCTTACTAAACTAATACTTTGGGATTTATTATTGTTCATTTCAAAAGATCTTCTCATGGTAACAGTTACATAAAAATCACTTCCTGATTGACTGTTCTTGGTCTGGCAAAGACCATCGACTTATATTACTGCTAGAAAGATGGCTATAACAGATTTTAAAAGACTTAACATACAATGAAACCCATTACTGCTGAAGTCTTCATCCATACCGTAATGGTCTCTTGTCCTCTCTATCACAACTCCCTTCTCTCTGGCCTCCCCAGTCTCTAGCTATCCAGACGTGTAGAAAATTACTTCCAGCCTTTTTTGAAGGATGGAGAAAGTATGTTTAGTTGCCCCTATTTTCAGTTATTTTCACTATATCTCCATTCATTTTGAGATACTGCTCAAAATTGCCTTTCTTTTATTTAACATTCCATTGGAGTACTGCAGCCTACCTCAGAGAATAACCTCTCTTTACCCTTCCCTGCATCTGACACCCATCTTTTGGCTTGATTCTGCTTCCCCTGACAAAATTGTCATTGACTTCAGTGGGATCACAGATGCCAAGGCAATAGACACCTTAAATCTATAGATGCTGAAAGAGAAACATGTTCTTAGAATCGTCATAGAATCCAGACATTCTGTGTGAGAGCCTTTGCCTCTACATTTGCTGTATGGAACAAACTTCCTTTCTCCCTCCCCATTGAGGCTCTGATTCAGGAAGACAGTTTAGTTAAATCAGGGACTTAAGCAAATGCTCAAATTCTGTTCTGAATAGTGATGGTATTAACCACATGTTTAAGTGCTTTCCTGAATCAGGACCTATCTCCATTTCTTTTTCAAATCTCATCTGAAAACCAATTTTCTCTCTTGGCTATTCCTCCTAATTTATCTCTCCATCTGCTATTATTGTATAACTCTATTATGTAAATCAGTAGAGCATTCTGGAGGTGAGCTTTTTATTAAAGTTGCTAAATGAAAAAAAATCTGTAACTACAGAACTCTGCAAATTGCATAGTTGTGTTTTCCATAGATTTGCCATTACATCTTTCTATTTTGGTCTATAAGCAATTTCGCTCTCTCTCTTTCAGGTTCATCTGATGTTCCCTGATCACGTACCTAAGCCATGCTGTGCACCTACAAAACTGAATGCAATCTCAGTGCTCTACTTTGATGACAGTTCCAATGTTATTTTGAAAAAATACAGAAATATGGTGGTGCGTTCGTGTGGCTGCCACTAGAATAAAAAATGAAAAAAAATCAAACCCAGTGTTTGTTCAGAATTGTAATCAAGTCAAAATACAATTCTTGCTAGTGAAAAGGCATCCCTAAACTTATTCCATTTCATGCCATCTCTCATTTAATGTACAGTAATGTATATAGTAGCTTTTATTTATTTAAAGGTATATAGTTTCTTTTCTATGGGTGAAATTTCAAAACAGTTTATTTTATGGGTCACCTTACTATGTTGGGGAACCTCCAAAGCTGTTTTTCAATCGATCTCACTGAGACCCTTTTCTGTCCATTTCAACATTTTAAAGTAAGACCTTTGTATAGTTTTTTTTTTAAGTTAGAAAGCCCAGAACTCCTGTGACTGTTATATTGTTAAAGGAAATTGAATACATTTGGTTATGTTGTGCAAATGAAATATATACTTGGATATTTATTTAGAAAAGGCACTAAAAAAAGAAACTGAAGAAAAAATGCTTGGCTAAACATAATTTTTCTTTTAGAAGTTTTACTTCATTAGACAAATTGAAATGTTGAACAGTGTTTAAATAAACAAACAGTAGGTAGAACATAGAAGCTGAAAGACTGCACATAATTGTTATAGCTATTTTCCGTAACAGAATCGGTGTAACTGGAGGAACATGTTACGTCTTGGCTTGTGGAATTTTGCAAAAGGCTCAAAGCTTCAGGAATTCTGTGGAGATCGGCTTGAGTCTGTGCCTATAGCTTTCCAAGTTAACACTAAACACTTGTAGTACAACCTTCTTTCCTCAAATAAATTGTCAGTTTATTATCTATAAGACTACTGCTGCAGATTTTTTGTGTGTTTAATAACAAAAAAACAAAAACAAAAAAACTCCACACTCACCTGAGCCACCTTACCATATGGGCAAGAATTAATATATGTGTGCAATGTGTAAAAGATTAAAATCTGGAAAGAATTTGTTTTCCTTAGCTTCCTTTTCTTGCTGGGTAAGGCATTTAGGAACATTGGAATTGCCATTCGTAGTCAGATTTGTGGTTAGTCTAGTGCAGTATCCTGTCTCTCACAGTGGCCAACAGCAGGTGCTTTAGATGAAGGTGAAAGAAACCTTATATGGCAGTTTTTAGGATAATCTCTGTGCACAATAGGTCCTCTCCTAATCTCTAATCTTACTATCTCTTCCAAAACTTGTTTGCATTAACTATTATACTCTGGATATTCCTGTTACCATATAAATGTCCAATCCCTTTTATTGTCTTGCTAAGTTTTTTGCCTCAATTACATTTTCTGGCAGTGAGTTCTACAGTCTAATTGCACATTGTATGAAAAAGTATTTTCATTTATCGGTTTTGAATTTACCATCTTTTAATTTCATTGAATATCCCCATGTTATTATGGGAGAATAGAAGGTCCTGATTTCCCATCTCTACAACCAGTCATTATTTTATATAGTTTTATTGGGAATTGCCTCAGTAGAAATATTGCTATATTCGAGTGTTATTTAAAATGAATAGAACATTTCTCATGCCTTACAGAATCTTTTCATTTAAATCCCGATGTCTATGGTTATTTAATGCACATTCCACAAAACACAGACTATTGCAGAATAATATAATCAGGTATGTGTGTGTTTTGCAGAAACTAATTTATTTTATCTCACTGTTGGAGTATTGTCTTAAATTGTTAAACATACACTTAACTTTTTGAAAAATTAAACAGGGTGGGTTTCTTTTTTTCAGTCATAGCATTTTCTCCAAACATTACATTTCAATTACTATTTTATACTTTATGTACCTCCATAACTATGTCTAATTGCAGTTCATGTACAATAAGGTATATTAATAAAGTTTCTTCAGTGAATTGCTGTTTGGGGACCACTTAGATAATGAACGTTAAACAGCATGGGGGATACTTTCAGAAAAGTTATGGGTTTGTTTATGAATCAGGTAAATGGTTATGATGTTTTGAATTCAATTTATTCTAAATAAAATTTAATGGAAACTGAATTTGGTGTACATTAAGTAATATATTTTTGAATAATGATGTACTATTTTGAGAATAAGAAACTGAAAATTATATTATTCTTTAAAATGTGTTGTTGGAATATGTTTCTATATTTTAAGATCTAATAAACCTGTAATACTAATTTGCTCTGCTTTGCTTTTTGATTCTAAGCCATGTTATACTGGAAAGTCAAATTCATGTTCTTTAAAAGCTGGAACAAAAGAGAATGGCCATTACTGTGGTTAGTGTTTGCTGAATTCCGTCTCTTAATACTGACCTGTGTTGCAAAATGGCTTTCATTTTGTTACTGTAAAGACATAATTATTATTTGAACCATGTAGAGTATTAATAACAGTTTTACAACTCTCTAAGCTACTAAAACAGCAACTGAAGTCAAAATATAGCACAAACAAGGAAGGATGAAAAAAATGCTCTGGCAATTCCTTACTAGTCCTTCCTCTGTTTGAGAGGAGAGACAATTGGCATCACTATTTTCACATACTCCAAAGAAATGCATACATATACCTTTGGGTTTTAACACACACATGTTCAACCACACCTTTTTCCCACAGTAGCTGATGTAACACTTTCCACATTTCTGTCCTCTGAAAAATACTAAGTAAATGATTAAGGTCATTCCATTTCCATTCAGGATTCATAAGAGAGTAGTTCTCATTTTATAAGAGAGTAGTTCCCATTTTAATCAGTTTAAACTTTCTTCATCATCCTTAGAGACTGAAAAAAACAGTGGGTACCTAATAAACCTACTGAGCTAAAGACAAAGAGAGAAAAAAATATATATTTTATCTCTTCAAATTAATTGCACTTTATGGGCCAGATCCTTAGCTGGTGTCAATCAATGTATTTCCAATGACTTCAATAGCGCCAATTGCCACTTATACTCTTAGGGCAGGTCTACACTTAAAAAGCTGCAACAGTGCAGCTACATCAGTGCGGCTGCGCCCCTGTACCGCTTCAGTGAAGACACTCCTATGCCAATGGGAGAGCTTCTC